AATCGAGCTTCTGGTCTTTACGATGATTTTTCCTATAACCCAATGTTAATGGAGCAGGTCTATCGGATTAAGAATCACAAATAAACACTACCCCACATATAATGGGTTTTTAGGGATTTTTTTGTGCAGTTCTTAGGTCTTTGAGTTCCCATACTGGGTTAGTAGTGCATTAGTAAATAACGAACATGCAAATCATATTATATACAATTATAATTCAAGTGCGTTTTAATGTAAGAAGGATTTGTTCTATACACAAAACATGACCTGTCTCCAATATAGCATTTTCACTTCTCTATGTACAAATATTTCGTGTCTTAAAATTTCTTCTTCAATTCTCTATCTCTTTATTCTATATTTTTGCAACTACCAGTTCGTTTAAACCAACAGAATGCTGGATTTGGCCGAATTCTAAGTTTGGTCACAACATATATGTAAAACTTTGTCCATAATTTAATTCTTGAAAGATATTGTTAAAGCGAAATTATATAAAATAAATTTTGAGTGTATTGCTCGAGAACTACAGTAAATGAATAAGCAATTGGGCTCCTGAAAAAGCAAGGCGAAAAAAAGGAAACCCGACTAATACTTAAACAAAAAAATTCTTTATTTTCACTATTTTGAACTGATAATGAAATTTTTCGTTTTATTGAATGTTAATTTTTTTAAAAGCTTTCCTTTCTTTACAGACACTCTTAACAATTCTCTTTAAAATGCATCTCGATCTCAATCGATCGCTGCAGCGATAACACTAGAGCGACCTGTCATATTTGAAGCCACAGTTAAACTCTGTTATAACACAGCTCGGGGGAAAACGAAATAACAATCTATGTCAATAGTAAGAGAGGAAAAAAGGCGGGAAATAAAAGGTCATTATTATTTTGTTTGTGCCATAAAGTCATAGTACAGTACTTCATAGTATAGCAGTAGTACTGAACTTCTGTTGACATCTGTTCTCCTGAACGTATACAATCGGAAAATTTCTGATCTACTATTACAGAACGGTTATTTCTAACTATCGTTACCGCTATTTACCGCGAAATATCTGGATTTAAGACGTAATCCGTAAAACTTTCCTTACACCCTTTTAAAGATGAGTTTAAAAGCTTTTTCAAGGAGCACACCCGGTCTTTCAGTTTCCCATCCATTTAGGAAAGTTTTACGGATTTCGTCTTCAATCCAGACACAAATGTGCTCCTGCGTTCTGACGAGAATTGTCATGAGGTTCTGTAAACAAGAGAAAGCCTTCAAATAAATTAACACTCAATAAAAAGAACAATTCTATTATCAGTTAAATTAATGAAAAAGAAGAAAAAGAATTTTTGTGATGAAGTATTACTCGTGGTTCCTTTTCTTCACCTTTTTACACACAGGTGGTGGTTTGTACTTGTCTGTATTTGTTGTCTTTGTAAAACTAATAATTGCGTGTCAGGTTGAGCAACAAAAAATAAGAAAAAGAAGACTATTCAATTGCATAGACATGTCTAAATAATGGTAGGAATTCGTCGTTGCTGCTGTTGTTTCGTCACTTAAGGCACTTCGGTCAGAAACCTATCTGGGTAACCAAAAATTGGTGAGACGATTCCTCCCTCATGTTACTCGATGGAGCACACGGGTTAGTTTTAAATATTGAGAGTCGATGCGACAAAACAGAGTTGGCTTTTTCATATTTTGCTTTTTACATTTTTACGGCTTGATTATGTTCTCTTTAATGGTTTCCTTCAGTCGGCCATATTTCTCCAAGCCATATTAAATTTTGTCGTAGTCTCACTCATATCATGAATGTGCTTATACGCAGAAGGCTACTACAGTGGATCGAAGGATTATTCATCCACCTCTACACTATCATTTTATTTTCTCTGTCATTGCAAAACCGAATAAGCTAGAGTGCTCAAGCACGCACCATTGTATAAAGCAGCCCCTCTCCTCTATTTGTAGGTATTCTTGCTATTAATTATTTAATGAGCGCCAAATGAAAGCATTTTCCACTAAGTTTGAGAAAGTAATATAAAATTAATTGTGTTAATGCAGCCACATATGGACTATGCGTGATTGCATGCAGAGCAGGCTGACAGACTTTGAAAATCTTTTCTCGGATTTGACCGAAATTTTTTCATTTGGCGCCCATTTCACACTCACGATCCCTAAGCCTAAAGTTTGTACTAGCTCTTTTTGTGCGACACAAATGAGTTCTGCTTTTGCTCATTTGACAGCTTTTGGCACAACTTGATGTGCTCTATCTGCGGGGGGAAAACAGCTGAATCTCATACTTTTTTGAATTTATTTAAATTTACATGAATTTAACTGAATTTAGCTGAATGAGCGTCTTTTCAAATCGACTAAAAGCTACCTAGTGCCTACACTAAAAATGTGGATTTGTGTGCCATTGGATTTGATTGATTCGCACTTGACGGAAGACTTCTTGAAAACCGAGCTTCTGAGTGCTTTTGAGTACAGGGTTCTCAGAAATAATCAAATTAAAAATATTCGTTATTATCCTTTAATTTTTTAAGCAAGCTCATTCGACAAAGTTCACTTTTAACCGTTTACAACAGTTTTTTCTTGGAAAAACTTGTTGTTTTGTTTCGTCATGAACTAGAAACTTAGGTTGGACCAAACAATCAGTTTTTGCGATCCGCTTATCAGTGCTCATTAACATATACAGTTGTGAATTTTGATGAATGAAGACCGTAGTGGGCATTTTTCTAATAACACATTGACATCAGAACTTTTTGCTCCTAAGCCCTTTTCATGATTAATTATGATTATATCATATACTCCGGAAATCAGACATAATTTCCGAATTAAATACTTTTTGACATTCGGTTTTAATCTCAAAAAACTGTTAGCTCATATCTGCTGATTTTGATGATATTTCTCAGGCTGAGTTTTCTCATCATCAGAAAGTGATTCACTTTCTAGAAATAAATTGATTGCAATGTGGACGGACCCTTTTATTCATTGAAAGGAATTTAAAAATAAACATTTTCATTTTTCTGATAAATGTCCGCTTGTGTGCCCACGAGAGAGGATTTAGTGGAATATACAAATATGCCTCAGTGGATGATTCAACGCAAAAGTAACACATTCTTCCATAACATCCAATAAGTTTAATTTAAAATAAGCCTCAGCCGATAGCATTAATAAAGAACAATGTTACCGCAAGTGACACGAACTCGAAGGAAACAGCTATTGTTAACTGAACAAGTAAGAGAAACGTTACTGATATTCTTATCAATGACTAATAAAATATTTGTTTATGGCTGAAGTCATCCAATCATCCAATCCAACAGTCCACTTCCAATCAAGTACGTACAAAATGCTCTTATTACTTCATGTTTGACCTTAGTGACGAAATAATAATCACTGACTTTTTAAAAAAGGTTTTAATATCGAAAGCTCCCGCACCAAAAAAGATTCCGAAATCCAAAACGACAGAAAGATCAGAAAAACCAAAAGTAACAAGAATTAGCAAGAGTAACTCACTAAATGGACAGGTAAGATGGAAAATCAGTTTAACGCTTTGAATAATTTTTCTCTTTTCTATAGAGTTCAACATCAACAAACAGTAATCAAGTATCGTCGCATGGATCAGAGTGCTTAAAGATTCTGTACCCTACTCCCTCCTTTTTTCATCTTGTTGCAAAATGCAGAGCACACATCCGATTAAGCTCAAATTTATACCAGAGATAAAACAACAAACATCGAGTTGAAATTTCCACCACAGATGCTTCGGACCCTATCACAGGTTCTAATTTCTTTTCCAGAACCACGCTATCCTTCTCGAAATATCCAAAAATTGTCAGAATGTCGATGTCTGAAGTGATTTTCAGCAATTTTTGGATATTTCGAGAAGGAAAGATATTTCTGAAAAAAATTAGAACCTGTGATAGGGTCTGGAACATCTGTAGTAGAAACTTCGACTCAATCGAGGTCCCCAGAAAACCCATAGAAGATCATGTCACACCCGTAACTACACCAGCGCTTTTTAATTACTCCTTTTATCCGTCTCATGAAAAATGAACTAATACAACTGCAAATAGCCACTTTACGCATTGTACATGTCAGGTTATTCTCCCTTTTTACTCTCATTCATTTTCTTAGATATTGCATTCAGTTAGTAAAAATGATATTTATTTTGGCGATGGTAAAAGAGACACAGATAAACGACAATCAGATAAACAAGTAAGAGATAAGAAACAAAAACAAATTTATTTAGAACTCAAATGAGTAGAGAAAAAGCTCTTATGGTTGTTATTGAAAGTCTGTGCCATTGCCTCATCAAGCTTGCTATTGTCGGACAGTCCTTGCTTGAAATTACTTTATTTTCTTCTTTCTCCTTCTAGAGTTTGTCATCAGACGTGTCAACGACAGAAACTAAATGCAATTCACTCAACAAAAAGACAAAACTAGATCGTAAACCGTATGTATTTGTTAAAACAAGCTAATTTGTTTATGCTGAAGTGCTTGGATTTATCGTAAACAGACGACGTAAAAGATGTTTATATTCCTCATGTCAATTGTGCTGTTTGCTTTCCTCTCTCCTTGGATTACTCCTGTTGGGTATTATAATTGCTTCAATTGTTGTTGCCGTCCGTGTGAGAAGTACAGTTGAAGGTAAGGATAATCCAACTGAAACAAATGAAATGGAGTGTGAGTGTATTTTCAAGTCCATAAAATTGACTGAGACATTCCATTTTCTAAGCAGTTGAAAGAATTTTTTTACATAAAGCACCGACAACGTCTCAAAGTACAACACCATCAACATCGGCAACAACGGTCACTACAACGACAGAAAGTAAAAGCTGTTTCTTTGTTTACTTCATTGAGGATTTTTGGAGGAGAAAGTGTGCATATGGAAATTTGTTTTAACTGTATATGTAACTAATCTAAAATAGCAAAGATCCAGACACCATAAGAATGAAAATTTTTTTTCTTCTGCAGCCACTACAACTACAACAACAAGTAAGTAGACAGTGTTTCGATTTGAAATTACGAGTAATATGTTTTGTGTTCAAGTGGGTATGAGCCGACTAACACAAACGAGTGATCCGATTTTTGGAATTTGTAATACAACTGTTGGTGGTGATAGTACACCAAGCGTAATAGCGGGCACAAATCCATGTAACTTTTATCCAGGAGAAATACCATCGTATGCGATTGACAATATTAATACAACAAAATACACAAACTTTGGAAGTGGTACGCTTTCCAGTTCAAGTCCGACTCAAGGGTGTAACACAGGCTTTTATGTTACACCTTCAATGGGTCCATCTGTACTAAAAGCATTTGTATTTGTAACAGGAAACGATATACCCGACCGCGATCCTACTGCAATCACTATAGAAGGAAGTAATTTAACTTCTTCGTTAACAGTAGGCACTAGTTGGACATCGATTTATTCGGGGCCGTCTGGTCTTTCAACCGATCCTGGACGCCGTACCCTTGGAGTTCAACAAACATGTAGTAGTAATACGATTTACTATCTAAACTATCGACTACTGACGACAACACAACGAGGAACAGAAAGTGCTGTTCAGTACTCTGAAGCAATTTTACTTGGTTATTTTTAGCGGAACGGGAAATAATATAAATAAAATAATATATCGATTATACTTATTTTCTCTTTTTAATGTTTTTGAGATAAACAGAAATCAAAACTGAATTCTGATAAAATTATCACATTCCTACAAATTAGCGTCTGCTGTTACTAATTACTAGGAACAAATAACAAATTTTTGTTACTTTACTTGATAAAGCAACACCGAGTAACAACTAATAAGCCACCTCTAACCATAACGTTAACTCTTCTTACATAGTAGTACATCGCCCTGAAATCTTTTTGAATAATAAGCTATATTAAAACTTGCATATTTTACCTAAATATGCAAGTTTATAGAACATTCTTTGAGAATCAGTTGGAGCGCGTATGCTCGACTATTCCTGTATCATAAATCATCAGTATATAGTACAATTTGTGTACTTAATTAATTAATTTAATTTAAGTTAATTTAATTTTGATTCGCTAAGTTGGCGAAGAATAAAATACTTGTACTTACGTTAAATTATCATAAATATACTGAAACCATTTCATACAATTAACACGTAAAAGAGTTTTTATTTATTCTGATTATCATCCCATGGTACCAATAAAATTTAATATTCTCTTTAAATTGAGACTTAATTGGTGCATTTATGATAGTAATTAAATCATTCGCACATGTACTATCCGTGAAGCATCGTCATTGTTATTATCGTAAACTTGATCGTTATATATTTTGGGTTCTATTTAGAAACAACGAAAGAATATAATGCAATTGTAAGAATTACATAGTATTTATCAAGTTCGATTTATAAAAGTTGTAGAGCATAAAAGAGCTTTCGAATCATCTATTTAGTTTCACTTAGAATGTTTAAATGAAAAGAAACAGGTGAAATGACTCCGTAGTGGAATTATATCAATTTTTTTCTTTCTTTGGCGGTGGGTTTTATCGTTATACTTCTACCGGTAAAAAGACTTCTCTAAATTTGATTTGCAAGGAGCCTTATGCAGTCGGGTGCCCTCTATCAAACTACGAGAAAAAAACGGTAGAAAAAATATCTTTGATTTTCGTGAAACTGCTCCAAAAAAGGCATTAGTTTGATTTCAGCAAAAACTTGTTTAGTATGTAAAATGCAATTTTTAAGATTGTTTGACAAAGTCAGTAGTGCATTTTGTATAGAATTTAATTTTTTGTCAACGAATCCTGGAAAACCCTGTCAACTACCACTATATCGTTTTCATCTAGCCAACTTAAAATATCTTCCTTGTTCTTCAAAAGTATATCTTTTACAAATAACAGCATCGTTGTTTTTATTATCCAATAAGTGCGGATCAAATATGGAAACAATGTATTCGGTGGATCTCACTATCACCATGGACATAGGAAGGGATCTACGTTTGTGTAAATTGTTAAACTTAAAACTTCAATTTTCACTGACAAGAATCCAGTGAAGATTGAGATTTTAAGCTCCAAAGAATTTTAGTTTCTACTGGAACATATACGTTGATCAGGCTATACAAAAATCACGATCAGGATTAGCAGCCGATAATAATATATGATATAGGCCAATCCGGATTTTATCCCGATTAGGATATAGGTGATGAGACCGGGTCGATCGATGGAATTGAAATTTATAATTTTTAAAATTTTAATTAAATTTCGAAAGATCAACAGACATGGTTCTTGACTTTTCGTTCCATTTAGGAAAACAAAGAAGCTCTTATTGTTTCATTTTGTACTATTTGATTTCTTGTAAAACACTTTCATATGCTTTTGTTTCTGAAAAAAAGGTGTATACATCAAAATGTTCCTGAACTTTTTTCCACTATAAATAAACGATTTCTCTTACTATCTGAAGGCAACAGAAGATTGGATTTTGTTCCGATATGAAATATGAAGGTAAGCACGCCTGGCAACCATAGAAGTCGTCAAAACTCCTTGGGCAACTTAGCTAACAGGAAAAAACCCAAACATTTACCTCCACTCCAAACCTAAACTTTCTATCTCCACTTTAACGGATATCGCAATTCGTCGAGTATCTCAGCAAAGGGTAACTAGAAGGCTATATTTTACATTATATCCCGATTGGGATATACGGCTTGTAATATCCCCATCGGGATCTTTGATTTTTTACGTTTATTAAATTAAAAATGAAGTACAGCTGTGTTTTATTCTCTCATGCGTGCGATCAGCATGTGTGTTATAGCTTTATAGTGCATTATAGTTCTTTTAGTATGTGAATAGACAAAAAAAAATCAGTAGCAAAAAGTTCAATCATTCACAGGCTTTTCAACTTTTTCGGCAAACCAATTCATTGGGCGAAAGTTTTAAATTCAAACAAGAATTAAACGAGATGTTAGTTTCTGATTTCATTGTCTATGACCTGTTACCATTATACGAATATTTAAGATTCAAAATTTTTTAGATCACTAATCTACTGGATAAAAGTCGCCTACTAAACTAAAGAATAGTAGATATCTCTGTAATGGTAAATGATCATAAAAAACGAAAACAGAAAATAACTTCTTGTTTATTTCTTATTTGAATTTAAAACTTTCTTCCAATGAATTGATTTGCCGAAAAGTTCGTACTCAGTGCTCTATTATTACTATTTGTTCTGCTAGCATATAGAAGGAAAACAAGAAAATCATCAGGAGCGCAGTATAACATAGAAACACTCGTATCGATAGTAAAGTTTATTCAACGCAGCTTCTCTTATCATTATCAAGTAATAAAGAAAAAGATAGTTATCATTATTAATCTTAAAAAAACTTCATATCATCAAATAAACAATATCATACAAGTCCTATAAAGGCAATATTCAAAAAAGACCGGGTTAAATGAGCTCAAAGAAATACAAACGTGGTGAGACATTAATTAAAACAGTAAGTTTTGTTTAATTTTATGTGACAGAGATCGTCGCGGGGAGGTTTTTTGGCTCCTTAAAGGGAATGGATTTTTAATTTGACTTTTCTTTTGTTTTCAAAATTCTGACTCATCTGGACTGGGACAGAAGACATTGCAAAGTTTTTGCCAAAATTCAAGTTCAGATAAATGAAACGTTTTACAACAGACTCTCTGGTTACGAAAACTTCGCGATAATTCAGCCGGCAAGCCAGACTTACAAAAACAAAAAACGTGGGGCTTGAAATATGCATTTTCTCACGTAAAGTGAATCTTACTGCAACGCTAAGATGATGCTGATGTTTGTTCGACATTGAAAAAATTTAACTTTTGAGAAAATGTACTTTATGTCCAAAAAGAAAAACATTTTTTTTTCCATACAAAGGTTCATCTAGAGTTCAACATCGACTGTGATGCGATACTCACTCGGCCAATAGCGATTGACGAGGATGACTTTACCTGAATATTTCACTGCATGTCACTGCCTTGTGCATGTCCAGCGAGTAGGAGAAAATGTCAAGATATTTCGAGAAAGTGTTAAGATAGCTAGTAAAAACAGTAGAATATCTTGATCGGGAATTTGAATCTCGAGAATTATTTAAGAAAAGGTTGCTAACCAGAAAAAAGACTTGGTCACAAGGAAAAAAGAATCTGATGCAGTTTTTTACGCTCTTTCCGGCGGTATGGTCAAATCTTTCCGCGACATCATCATTTTGTCGCTAATGAATTTTACTTAAAAAAATCGAATTTATATCCCGATTGGGATATATTTTGATGCAAAACGGAATATGAAGCATGAGACTACGGCTTGTCCAGCTAACGAGCTCCATTTTTTGCTCTTTTTCGAAAAGTTATTGCAATAAAACTACAAACTAATCTAAAATGGCAACTAGATGTAGGAAATGCTGATCTTGTGAAAGTATAGTGACGAAATTTTTGATTGACACCATCATGCATGATTTGTGAGATGTCGTCACAATAGTAACTAAAATCGGGCTGTTCGTAGCTCCTAGATTTCTCAGTAACAAAACATTGTGGAGAGCTCGGACTGCTCTTAAATTGACGAAAACAGATGTGACCAGAGGCTTATAGAGCCCGATTTTTGATATTTTACTTTTTAAATTAATGGTCAGCGTCAAAAGTCCGAAATTCGAAAAAGTCTCAGTAACTTTGATAAAGATGTTTTTCTAATCATAAATCTAGATTCAATATAAAAAATCCGGCTGTTTTGGCCTCTGGCGACATGTGCCAGCTTCAAGTTAAGGCCTTCCGGAGCTCTCTGCGATGTTTCCTTACCGAGAAATCTGGGAGCAACGAAATGGTGTTAAGGGGAAAGTCGCTTTCAAGATATGGTGGCGCCAGTATCTGATGCAAGTTTTAGGGGTTCTAGCAACACTCTCATAACTCTTGATCAGAACATCATTCGAAGCTGAGAGATGTCTCATTTTGATCAAAAATGTCTACTATATTTCCTGGTATTACTAAAAGTAGCTGTCGTTGCTTTTTAGTCGAAAAGTAAAACTTTTTCGATAAGTCAACTTTTCAAGATTTTCAGAAAACGTTTCCAAAAACCTCTATAACCCTTCGATGAGGACAAAATAACATTGGATCTCGATAGTAAGGGCTGTGGGCTATCTGATGACGTGCTTAGCTCAACATCGACTTTTTATGAAAAAATTATGTCTAAGGCGTCTGTGCAGAAAATCTTTCAGCTTCATTAATCAGTTCTTCTAAACTAAGGTGGTATATGGAACATTTCAAGGTGAACCCGACTGCGAGCTACTTTTAATTTAATTCTAAGTTTCTCACGGGGCCGCACAAGATCTCTGTGATTTCTTATTGTAAATTTAGGCATCTTTTTCTGTTGTCAATTTTTTTCTTCTTTCCGATCGCACATTTTGTCCTGTTTTCTCTTTTATATAGGCAATACATTTGAACATCGAATAACAGAAAACAAAATTTATTCTAATTTTGGTTTCTTTTATATAAACGCCTCAAAATAGAAGCAGCAACAGTGATGAACTCAAATCTTTACATGAAAATATCCTCTCTGAAATTTTTTTATACTGTTCTCTAACAAACATAATTGCTCGTACAACTCTCACCGAAATAATCAAGATTTCAAT